CTTAATATTTTCAGTGAAAAGGAAGAGAGCATAAGCCTATTACAACTTCCGGTAAAGGAACAACACATTTAACACACCAAGCAGGTAGCTATCTGAATGAGTAAATGGGCAGAATGCTTTCAAGTATTTGCTATGCTCAGAAAGCTTTGAATTTTTGCTTTTGAGCAAATTTCTGGGCAATTTATAAATTTCTCAAGAAATTTAGTTGCATTTGTTTATAGACTTCCTTTTCTTCCTGTCCATAATGCAAATAGCCATATTTATTTTGAAATAACCCTTATTTTCAGCACTTAGCACCAAATACAATTAGTCCATTTAAAAAATTATATTCATTTTCAAAGAACAGAAATCTGGCAACTTGATTCTGAAACAATTATGAAAGAATATTTGATTTCTATTCTAAAAACAATTTCAAAAAAGAGCTTCTAAATTGAGGATTCTTATTTGAGGCAATCAGAATAATGTTGAAACAGATGTATAATACACAATTGTTGCAATATGTTGGTTTAAAATTCAGTTGGATCAGATGTTTCTATGCCTATGGAAAAATACATACATATTTCAACTTAGCATCTCAGCACGCAAGCCTATATTGCTTACAGATAGATATTCTGAGTACTTACTCTTGTTCTTGATCATTTCTGAGAGAAATTCCTTCCACTGGTAAAAACATACTTTGTTCATTTTTGTAATCTTCTGTCCCTTTCTCTTTGGTGACCTAACCACCCACTCTCCAATTGTTCTTTTTGACCAGGCTTATTATATGACCAACAAAAAACAGTGTTGATTTCTTGCACAGCTACATCTTTTGGTATGCTGAACTGTTCTTAACAGAAGACCGTCTCATAACTTGAAAAGAGCCTGCCTCTCTGTCATTCTCTGTGGAAGATAATTTGGCATAAGAATCAGAAAATTTTATAAAGTATGTATTAGAAACCTCACAATTTTATCTTTGGCAATTCTTCTTTTAATATGCCTCGGTTTTACTAACTTAAGGCACTTAAATGTGCAGAAACATCTTTATGAGTTATATCTCCATCAGGTCTTCCATAAAAGTAATTTCTTTCATATCTTAAATCTATGTTTTTCATTTTATTCATTTTTCAAGGAACAGTTTAGTTACTAAACAGTAGAGTTTAGTTTTATTGATTTTTGTCTTTTACTTGGTATACACTGGCATTTCTTCTGGGTTCAAATCAATTCAAAATATTTCCTAATAAAAACATCTCACTAAATAATAAATAAGGTGTGGAGAAAAGTTTTATTTCAACTATCTTCCATTTTGTTTTCAAACTTTCAAAACTGGTCACTGAAGTGCTTTACCATGTCATCTGGTATCATGGAAAAAAGCATTTAAAATTTATATCTGTGCTCATATTTTCCTCAAAAGTTATTAGTATGTCTCTATGCATATCAAAGATAGAAAGGACAAGAGCTTTATCAATAAATTGGAGTGATTATTTTCTTCATATTTAAGAAGCATAGTAGCTTAACTGTGGTTGATTAGACTTGAGTTAAATACTCGAATCATTATGCTCAGTGGAATATTAAAGCTAAAATAAACTTTATTTTTAAAATTTACAAATTAATCCAATATTTCCCATATTATTTCCAGGAATTTCCCTCATAGACTTTTGGATCTATGCTACCCCAGGGACAGAGCATGCTGCCTTCACTTTGTGCATCTAACATGCTGTGATGAAATCATCCCATGTAATCTCCAAATAAATGCTGCCAGCAGTGCTTCTGAAATTCCCTGGGTGCACTATCCGTGTAACTGAAATCCCATATGATGAATCCCGTATGATATCCAGGCCTTTCACACCCTTTGTCTATACACATTCTTCCTCATTAATGTTTAGCATATTCTAGGCCACAACAGTTTTGTTTCATAGTCATTCACTCATTTCACTTGAAGTTCGATTACATAAAAACTTTATATAGCCTGAAATCTAATAGTAGAAAATTTGCTCACAGTTTTCATTCTGAAACAATTACCTTTCACTTCCTAGTATAAGTCCTCTAGAATCCTTTATTTCCCTGGTATTAGTTACATGATTAGCAATCGAAAGTTGTGGATTTAAGCACAAATTGGGGTCTTCAGCAAATATGAGTCATCATGGCATGGGCCTGTTATGCTCTACAGAAAATATCAAGAGTCTGTTCTTAAGGACCTTTAATTTGTGGTCTGATTTGAAGGAATGCTGGATTGATTTCATCAACCACTGTGTGTGTGTGTGTGTGTGTGTGTGTGTGTGTGTGTGTCTGCCACATACGCACCATGACTGGGACTTCCTTCCATATCTAGAGACAGGACTTTTAAAACAGTTTTTTGGACAATTAGGTTTTGAGATATTTTTCTGGGGAAACAAGAAGGCTAAATGCAATCAAACCTAGCTGATTGTAAAAGAATGATAGAATTTTTTATTATTATTTGCAGTTAAAGCCCAGAAAAGACCTGGACTCACTACCTCTTTCACTTGAGTAGCTTAGAAATTAGCCAGCAGCCAGAAGCCTCCTGTGAAGTGCACACAGGAGGCATGCTGTTTCACAACAGGATCTGCAAAGTGTATGCATGGAGTGTCTCTCAACCCCTGGAGTCCAGCTCCAAGCCTTGACTCCTTTCTTTCTAGCTGTAGTTGGTGATAGAGGAGTAATGTCACGTAGAAGGCAGGATTGCTCATTATCTTGTGAAAACATTAGTCCACTTTAACATAATTTTAGAGGCACTATTATTTTGCTTCAATGAAGTTATCAAAGACCTGTTCCTGGTGCTATTGCTAGAGGTAACTGAGCACATATTAACACACGCATACACTGGAACAATGGTGTGGTCCTCAATAGCAAATTTTTCTTTTAACATGCTGGTTTCATGAAAACCAAAGACAATATTGTGACCCAGGAGAATGCATAACAAGTGTGATTCCATACGCAGTACCAATAGATACAATGGATTGAATGTAAGTTTCTAAGCCATGGTAGGATTCTTCATACTATTCACACATTTTTATAGCATATTCTCTGAAAATGTCTGAACACTTCACTAAAAGATACACTGAATAAAGATGGTAGATTGTCCAGTTCCAATTCATTAGTATAAAAATGGTTTCTAATAATATAAATCAGAATCACCTCTACCTCTGTTTTGTTTTTCAACTCTTACACCAAGATAAAAGCACTATTAGTGAATGGGGTCATTGGAATTGGCTATTAGGAGTCATGCCTGAAAAAAAAAAACCCAAAGAAACCAAAGAGTAATTGTTTCATCATAATATTCAGATTCATTGAGTTTCTAATTATCTTCTTTATGGGAGCTATTCAAGGACTTCTAATTGAATTTATGACCTTCTCCCAAAATCACACTATGTTAACCCATGTAAGTCTAGATATTTTACCTTCATATTTACTTTTCCTTCATACTCATCCTTTGGTACTCTGAAGAGGTTCTTTATTTAAGAAGTTAATTAATGCAAAATTTACTCTTATTATCTTCATATTTAATTATTTCTTATTTATGTCATTGTTTTAGCAAGGGCTACAAGTATTCCTGAATGTCTGCCTCTTATCCATTTCCCTCAGCTTTTAAACATAATAAAGTGCCTGGATTCTTTATTTAGTATTTCAGATCACCTTTCTTTCATGTCACAAAAGATAAATTCACACGGCTGTGCTGACATCATAGCTTTGAAAATGCACCCACCTGTTGCTTTATAAATAGATCGGTCAGTTTTTTCACCTGTCTACCCTGTCCATCACTCTAATGTCAGGCTCCTAAGTCTAAGAATGAACTTTTCTTAACTTCTTCTACAGCAAGAGTTCAGAAGCCTGCTCCTCTACTTAACACACACAGAAAGAAGTATCATTTTGACAAGATGTCGACCAGCAAGCATTCTCATTTAGGAATATTTGATAGTGGTGCTGTGGCATTTTTATTTTGATGAACATTCAGCGCTAACAGTGCTGAGAATCCACCCCTTCTAAAACGTGTGGGTTGCGAGGGCTCAGTGCTTATCTGTCCATCTTCACATTTGAGGTGTTTTCAATATTTTGGTATAGTTCACCCATTTATATTGTTACATAGTGCTGCTGGTGGCTCAATCCTCCTTATCAAAAATCTTTTTTTTTTGTCTTGTTTCATTTTTCCTAGTCAAGTTTTCTTTCTTTAATATTAATCCTCCAGAGCCCATAGCTTTGAGTTTATTAGAGCTCAGAACTAATGCAAAAGGAATACAGACAACATCCACAGTCCAGAGGTCCTGAAGAGTGGAAAGTCTTGGCACCTCTTAGCTCTCCCTTAAAGAAAATGTAATTTGATATCCATGTAGGACCTAGGACCTGAGTTGAAAAGTCCTTTATTTGCCCTAAAGTTAATAGAGGATTGTCAAATAAAGTAAAATAGGCACTAAGAATTTTATTTGTGCTTTTTTTTTTTCACTTTACTGATTCCTCTCTTTTAAAGGAAAATCAGAAACTGGTATTTGTGGATTTCCATAGGTTGCATATAAGAAATTTGTTCCAACATGCAACATCATCACTTCCTACTTTTCAGTGTGTCCTTTTCACTTGAGAAATCCCTCTGCTGCAAAGCAAAAATGAATTTACTACGTAGATTATACTTACAAAATAGCTGTTTCAACTAAGAAACTGAATTTGTATTCTCCTGTCTCCCGTTGTGGAGTTCTACCTCAGTCTTGATTCACTCTGAATCACTGAAAGTCTGTACTAGAATCTACACATTTCCATACTAACTTCAGAAGTGTAAGTTAGATTTTATAGCCTGAAAATCACCAGTTTCTTCTGTTTACAACTTCATCAAAAACCACACAAGCACAGTTAGAAGCATTTGCATTTAAAACTTCCATATCTCAAATCCGTTTTCTTTTCCAAATGCCCATTATAAAATAATCAGCAAGACTTAAACTTTCTTTCAAACAATGGCTACAGAGCTGCATATTTCTCTCCCAACAGAGGGAGAAAATATGGTCCGGTATTGTACTCACATGGCACAGTGCGGAGGTAGAGGTTGTCTCGAATGATTTGCTGAAGGTCGTGGTCAACAGACCCCTTCTGAAATCGTAAATTGAGGTAGTGACGAAGGTCTTTATCAACGATGCCTCCTAGAACAATAAAGATTCTGAGTGAAGGATCTTGGAAAACACAAGAATGTCATTTGACTCTGTCATGAATATACTCATGAGCCCATTGAAAAGATATTTCAAATTGCTCTTTTGACTTTCTGGTATATTTATTGTTGTAATGATAAAATAAAACAGATGACATTTACTGAAATAATAATTGTCTACCAGGTCCTTTGGGCTCAGTGCTTTGCATGTATTCTTGAATTTATTTATCATTTAGAGTGGAAATTATGATATGTTGAAATATAATACTGAAATTAAAAAACTATTCACTTATTTGTTTATTTATTCCCATCTCTCCCTCCCTCAGTCACTGGCCGCTGCCATTCTACTTTCTGCTTCTATGGATTTGGTTACTTTGGGTCCCCCACGTAAGTGGAATCACATACTAGGTGCCTTTTGCAACTGCTTATTTAGAACAATGCCTTCAAAGTTTTTACTAGACTATCAATAGGGATTTAAATAAGTAGACTTATACAAACATTTAAAAAATAATTAGACAAATATTAATGTTTTATCCCTTCATACCATAAGTCAAAGTAATTTCTCCATCCTGTACTCTATTTCCAGACATATTTAGTTAGAAACAAGGTTTGAAATTAATTATATTTTTCTTTGTTCATGTGCCAAACAATAGAAATAATTTGGTTTTGTTTGCTATTATAGTCTGATGAAAACCTGGGCTAGAGATTAGAAAATCAATAGTGTAGATCTATCAAAGATTAATTTGATGTTTAAAGATGACAATGTTAAATTACAAATATTTATCTTAAGACCTTTCTATATTGGAAAGACTGAATTATAAATCAAAATACCTCTAAGTTATAAATAAGATTTCCTGAAACTCGTTTTTTTCTTTCAATCATATCAGGTTAATTGAGCCAAAACAAAGCAGAAAGATGAAATAAATAGGAAATCTGTAATAGTCACAAAAATCATCTTTTCTTCAAATTCCTTTGAATTTCAGAATTTACAAAAAATTTGTAACATTATGTTCATGTAAAACAGCATTAGTTAGGCACATACAGGGCCAGGGATCTAGCTCAGTGGTTTTACCGCCTGCCTCACAAGCGGAAGGACCCGAGTTTGATCCCCGGTACCAAAAGAAAAAAAAAAAAGAAAGAAAAGAAAAGTTAGGCACATACATATGCAATGCAAATACGTTTCAAAATATTTAGTTAGTATATTTATAAGTTACATATTGCAACATTTCCAAAGTCTCCAAAATTCCTCCTGTCAGTTACTTCCTAATCTGCAGGTATAACCACACTAATATATGATGAAAACAGGATTTTTAACTGAATTGACTGTCAAAATTCTTACTCTCCAAATCATGTTTCTTATATATTTGAGCAAACAGTCTGTTAAACTATTTTTCTACTAAATGTAATATGGTAATGATAAGCAAATATGACAAAAGAAAACAGATTTATTGAATGCATATACATATTAATATGAAATGTTTATATACATAGTTTTCCAAATTCAAAACCATTTCCTGAGCTATACAAGCAGAGCAGTCAAAATTAAGTCATTGGAAACGACCTTGGGGGAGTACTGACAATTACCCATTATTTACATCTCCAAATTTCCTGGGTTCCCACCTTTCTTGGACCTGCTTGCAGCAAGTGAGGTAGCTAAGAATGCAGGCACTCTGAAATTCCCTCATGCCCTTGTTCCGGTCAGTGGAACAGACTCACCCGGCTAACTCATTACAGTCCTGAGCAGGGTCGTGCCTGAGGCTGCTCTCTGCTGGGTTCTATCTACAGGTGCTTTGGCAGCAGCACCTCCTCTCTTTTTCTTTCCATCTAATATGTGGGGCATGGCAAGTGATGAGATGCTCTCTGGCAGCCCCTGAAGAAGCCAACTATCAAACAACAGATGTAGCCTGCCCATTAATGTAAGCTAGAATCACTCACCTAATGTGTCAGGGATACATTTACATTTTGCAGTCCAAGATGATTCTTGACTTGACAATATATTATCAGTTCAAGCCTGTTCTTCTAAGACAAATATACTGCATTTGTCCTCTTGAAAATGTATATGCCTAAGAAAACAGCCATAGAATTCTCTCTACTCATTTCAGTGATTGGCTGTATCTTTTTTCCAATGGACAGACCTTTGGAAACTTGTAAGAAGTTACATGAAATTCCCTTTGTTAATTAAAATGAGCCCAATTACAGTGAAATCCTATAGATGATCTTGCTTATTTTGGAGAAATTTTTTTGTCTCATATTTTCTGACTACTTACTTGATCATCCTTCACAATTGCATCTTTTAAGTAATGTAACTTCATTTACCCAGTGTTCTTATTCTGGTGAAATCTGATAGCCACCTATGCAGTATTCCTTCTTTTCAATGAAAGAATTCTGATTGAGTTTCAGGTCTAAATATGCTCAGCTCCAGAGTATGGGTCCCAGTGGTCTGCAGCAGTCGTTCAGTCCACGACCCTGTTTTCCTAGTTACGCAGGCAGTTTCGGGAAGCCACTGGGAGATAACACAGAAGGCAGGACTTCCTCATTCTCTGAACTGAATGTGCTACCTGAGATGTAACAACATATTCTGACCAGAAAGTGACAAGCACAGGGAAAGCCATTGTGCCAGTGGTACTAGAGGAGACGCTAGAAGCAGCCTGGGTCCCTGAAGGCTTTACTCAGCAACTGAAAGTGACATGATCAACTCCATAATTTAGGATTTCTTGTTATATAAGAAGCCATTCACTTTAGAAAGCACAGTTATTTTAAAACTAGTAGTTTTGAGAAACTATATAGGATCCTAATTAATATATATGCGTGCATCTGTGTAAATATTGTAAATGTTATAAATGTCCTCTATATACTCATAGTGTATATATATTATAGATACACACACACATATAAAGGAACATTCATCCTTGATTAGAACTTTCAATTGGCAGGAATTAAGCAACAGACATCAGCCAATGCCTGAGCTGGAAAGACAGAGCCTGGGTCTCAGAATGACCTCATTTTTGGCTTATAAGGCAGAATTTTGAAGAAAGCTAAAAACTAAAGATTTATACACAGTGTTAAGCAAGCGTTAGCTATTTTTAAACAGCTTCCTGTTATCTCTGTCATAGTTACAATTTTTAGTTTTATTGTTAATGTTTATAGAGTTGCTGTTCTATAATTTGATAGTAACTCCTAGATTTGGTAGCTTAAAAGTATGCATTCATCAGTCAGTCTGTCAAACACAGCATGGTCAACACAATGATTTCACTGCATACTGTACCACTACATCATACTAGTGATTGAAATTAGTACTTCTCTCTTCAAAAAAAATTCAGTAGCCCTTATCATTATTTGTTAATAATACTGAATTATTTTTACTGAATTATGTGACAAACCTTTATTTTATTAAAAATACAACCATAGATGAAAATGTTGAATACCTGATTAAATCACAGTTTCAGGAAGTGACAGAGAGGGGAGAGAGTTGAAGCCTACAGTTTTGCCTCCAAATATTTGAAGACCAAACTTCTTGGTCAAAAGTAGTCTAGTCCTTCCTCAGTGTAACTTCAATAAAGTTTTTGAACTTGACATCAAACTGTAATTTAAGAACCCTTAGAAGAGACCTTTGTTTAAACTCTTCCTCTTGTAAGGAAGAAAGTGAAGCTCACACACTTAGCACCAGGTTTGCAGGAGTTTGTGGGGAGCGAAGAGTGAAGGAATCAGCAGGCAGCAATGTCCATGAAGTATTTGGGGAGAAGGCTGAAGGGTGAAACCAATGTGCCTATCACAGTTTCCCGTATTTCTTAGGATTGTCCCCAGTAGAAGTTGAGTGCTTTATCTTCTCTACAATTGGAATGTTCAGATCAGATGGATAGAATTTCCCTGCTGTATTTCTTAAGGCAACGTGTTAATTCTAGTCTTGCAGCTAGAGCCAGACACTTCCTAAATCTAAGAGGGAAACACCAGAGCTTATATTTGTGCCCAACAGTCTGACTGCTAGTAGCTGGGCAGAGAAGACACATTCCTCACACGTAGGTATAACCATAGCTTCAAATTTTTCCTCCCTTGAGTCAGCTGCTCCTGGAACGAACATGTGCCTTATACACAGTATAAATCAAGGAGAGAGGCTTCCTTGTTGGGATGGCAGGGCTGGGGGTAGGGAGGGGAAGCAGGTTGACCAGAATGCCAGAGTGCAGCTCGTTCTGAGTAGCAGTCAAACCGAGCTACTCCATGTAATCATCTTACTTACTGCACCTTCTCTTCACCTCAGTTTTCTTTTCATGTACATTCTACAGGATGTGGAAGAGGGCACCTTTTACTTTTGTTTGGTTGTGCCTTATTTTTGCATCTATCTTTGCACTTTTACACTGCCTTTTTTTAATAACAGTACCTTGATTTTCTTTTTGAATGGTCATATCACCTTAATTTTTTTTTCTGTGTCCAAGATTGAACTCACGACCTTGAGCTTGCCAGGCAGGTGCAGCGCCACTGAGCTACATCTCTGGCCCAATCTTTTCTACCATTTTTTGGTATCAGGGATCAAATTCAGGACCTCATCTGAATTTTTTATAGGTGTGGTGAGTTTTTGAGCTAAGCTCCCTGCCCTCCCACAATCAAAATTTCTCTCCCAGGAGGTGGCTTTGTAAATACAGCAACCAAAGGATGTGGATGCCAGTGTGTCTGTCTTGCAAGTGGCACCCTACAAAGATTAGCCACCATTTCCACTTCAGTTCATACAGAATTACCCCTTTTTCTGCCCAGTCCCTCCAACTCTCCCTTTGTTCATTACAATTAATGACACTTCACAGAATGCCTCTTTTTTTTTTTTTTTTTTTTTTTTACCAGGGATCGAACTCGGGCCCTTGCACTTGCGCAGTAGGCAGCGAAACCACTGAGCTAAATCCCCGGCCCCTGCCTCTTCATTTTGATGCTATTCATGGAATTCCTATCCATCCATCAGCTTAAAACCCACTTCCACTTGGCCTTCCTTATCATCTTGAGGCCATAGGT